CCTGCTAAAGAGTCAGCATTGGGTTGGGTTTGATTCAAGGTACTCAGCTCTCTCCTTTAGTGATGTCTGGTATCCTAGTGGTAAGGCATCGTACTGCCAGCTGAAAGGCACACAGTTCGAATCCACCAGCTACTCTGTAGGAGAAAGGTAGACGTTCTCCCGTGTGGTTTATACCATCTGAAAACCCACTGTAGAGTTAGCTGTGTCAGCTCCGGCTCTGCAGCACATTACGACTCTCCTGCAGGATTGCTGTGCTTCAGCGTTGGCTTGATAGAGGGGGGTACTATTCTGAATGAACTTTTTTGGATTGTAAAAGTTACGCATTTTAAAATTTCATAAATTTTTAAAACTCTTCTTCTCTGCGAAAGAAGATAATGTAAAACTTATCAAATACGTTAAGTACTCAGACCTTCGCAAGCTAAAAGACCAAAACCAAACCACCTCCCTCAATTTCTGAAATAGTATTTCCTGGGCATACCTTTTCAGTCTGTATGCTGAACAGATCATTCCAGAAGCTGGATTCTATGAAGAAGAATATGGCATCAGGATCAGAGGAAGACTTTAATCCGCAGCCTGCATTATGCAGATGACCCAACCTTGCTTGCTGAAAGAGATGAGGACCTGGAGCACTTGCTGCAGAAGATCAAAGACTGCAGTCTTCAACATGGATTACATCTCAACATTAAGAAGACAAAAATCCTCACCACTGGGTCAGTAAGCAGCATCATGGCAAATGAAGAACAATTGAAACGGTCAACAATTTCATCTTACTTGGTCCCACAGTTAACCCCCTTGGTACCAGTAGTCAGGAAGTCAAAAGACACTTTGCCAGTCACTTGCTGTATGCACAGCTGAGAGCTGCACAGTGAATAAGGATGGCAGAAGAATCAATGCCTTTGAATTGTGGTGTGAAACAGTACTGAATATCCTGTGGACAGCAACAAGAAAATGCAGCCAGAGTGCTTCTGGGAAGCAAGGATGGCAAAGCTTTGTCTCATATACTTAGATCATGGTATTAGGAGGTATTCCTTGGAAAAGGGAGCTCAGGTGACATAGTGGTAAGGAGTTGCACTGCAAATCCACCGTCTTCACCTTCCATGCGATTACTGCCTCTGAAAACCAGCTGTAGGGTCAGCAATGAGTCATTTCATGCAGCTGTGAGCTCAGCATGTCAGGGATAATAAAGATCTCACAGGATAGCATAGGATTCAGATCTGTTGTTCATAGGGTTACTGTGAATCATACTCAATGGTATGATGACAGTCATAACAGGAAACTGTAATGTAACTTTCCTGTCCAGTGTAGTTATAAGAGAAATAGTATAATAAATAAATACAATCCATATCTCTCAGAATTGGTTTGAACGCCTTTAAGAGTGTTTTGAAATGCCTTCATGTGCTAAAAGGTGCCCATTTGAGAACATCTTGGATTCATTTCCATCCTGAACAACTAATTTCTGTTGGTGACGGACTTTTTTTTTTTAATTGATTTGCTTACAAAGTTGTATACATTGTGTTTCATACACTCATTCTCATACATGATGTTTTATAAAATTAATCACCATTGGACCTTGCCCATCATTACCTTGTCTTTTTGACCAGATCCTTCCCATTTCCTCTCCTCCCTTCCCCAAATTGTACAAATGCTGACTTTGTAGTACTATGTTGAGATACAGGTTTACTATGTAGTTATAGTTGTTAACACAGAGTTGTGTTATGTGAGAGGAGTGTGTGTGTAGAGACTCTTTTCTTTTGCCATTGATGTGATTCCAACTCATAGCAGCCCTCAGCTAGTATTTTCAAGGCTATAAATACGGGAGCAGACTAGCTCTCTTTTTCCTTCAGAGCAGCAGGTGTGTTTGAACTGCCTACTTGCCTGTTAGCAGTGCAATATATTATGCACTGTGCCACCAGGGCTCCGATTTTCCATCAAGACCAAAAGAAACTAGCATTTGTGCAAAAATAAATGATCTTAAGAAAATGGTTGGGTTTTAATTAATTTAACTTAACGTTGTCATTTCTTCGTTAGGTTGTTAGTCTCTTCTTTGGGAACACTCCAGAGTTTCCTTCCTCTTGCTTTTTCTCCACTTGCTCCCTCATATTTCAAATAGCTTTGTCAGCTGTCCTGTTCCTTTGTTTCCCAGGATATCATCGTCACGTGCTTGAGGAAATATGTCTGCACCAAGCTGTTCTTATAACATGACAGAAGGATTCTTTTTTCCCCACTTGAGAATAGAAATATACAGCATTTTGTGAGCACATATTTAGGTTCTACCTCTTTAAAACGGAGTAGTAGCTTTCTGTGTAGTTTTATATTTTTCTTTTTACTGAGATGCCTAGACCATGATGGCAAATTTTTCTTCTCTGGCTTCAATCCTATTGTAAGCTAGATACTGCCGCACGACTACTCTGCTTTATCATGCAGGACAGCAAATCATTTGGGCTCCCCCCTCCTCTTCAGCCTGGGCCTCTGTTATCTCACATCACTGTGTGGCCTCCACATTCTGTTTTTCTGAGCCAACTAGAGTCCTAGAATCAGCAGAAAACCTCCAAGCTTCTGCTCGATTGTCTAACAGCAGGCATCTCTGAATTGAACTCAGTTCCACGTCTTATTCTTGCCACTGATGCCCTGGAAGACCATGCAGAAGGGATAGATAGCAACAGGTTTGCGTAACTGCTTGCCAGTTATCAGTAATCAGACCTATTTTTTCTAAATTATAATAGCTGTTATTTGAATATCTTATTTGCTATAAGCTATTGTGGCTTAGTGGTAAGGAGTTGTGCTGCCAACCCAAAGGCATGTGGTTTGAATCCAACAGCTGCTCTATGGGAGAAAGATTGGCAGTCTGCTCCAATGCAGTTTGTTGTTGTTGTTGTTGTTGTTGTTGTTGTTGTTGTTAGGCATTGTCCAGTCAAGTACAATTCATAGCGACCCTGTGAACAACAGATCTGAAACCTTGACCTATCCTGTGCCATCCTCGTCATCTCTGACACACCTGATCCCATTGCTGCAGTCACTGTGTCGGTCCACCTGGTTGAGGCTCTACCTCTCTTTGGCTGATGCTTTACCTTTCTAAGCTTTCCAAGGAATAGCAGCACCTCCTAACAATATGGCCCAAACCATCCTTGCTTCTAAGGAGCACTCTGGTTGCACTTTCTCCAAGGCATATGTAACATTCTTCTTGCAGTCCATGAAACGCTCAGTGCTCTTCTCCAATACTACAACTCAAACACATTAATTCTTCTGTCAGCCTTGTTTATTGTCCAGCTCTCAGATGCATAACAAGTGATTGGAAACACTATGGCCTTCTGAATCAGGTGTACCATAGTCTTCAAACTGACAACATTGTTCCTTAGTAATTTGGAGAAAGTCTCTGACTGCAGTCTTTCCTGGTACAATTGTCGCCTGATCACCTGACTGCTGATACCAAGGGTATTGATTGTGGACCCATGTAAGATAAAGTCATTGAAAATTTTAATATTTTCTCCATATGTCATGATGTTGCCCATTAACCCAGTGATGAAGATTTTTGGTTTGATGTTGAAGGCTGTAGTCATTGATCTTTAGCAGCCAGCATTTCAAATCCTCTTAACTTTCTGCAAAGAAGGTTGTTTGATGTGCTGATTGTTATTGAGTCTTCCTCTGATCCTGATGCCACATTCTTCTTTGTGTTTTTTTGTTTGTTTGTTTGTTTGTTTTTTTAATGAAAATATACGGAGACTTAGGGTTTCCGTTCGTTCATTGTTGCAGTTTTCTCCCTGCTCACCACCTCCCCTCCAATTCACTCTTCTCTTTGAAAAATAAAAGAAAAATTATTTCACTGTTATAAAATCCCTCCCCCCAAGTCCACTCCACTGTGCAGCCTTCATTCTGGTCTCCTGTCATGACAATAATACCTAATCATATATCCCTTTTAAACAGTTCGCTCCCTCATCTCTTTCAATGCAGTATACATTATTTATCCCCTCTTTCTCAGTTTTCCTTCAACCCTAATGTCAGTTCCATTTTACAACAATGGCCCTGTGTAATATTTGTCCTTTTGTGACTGAGATATTTCACTCAACATAATGTCCTCCAGGGTCACCCATTTTGTATATTTCATGGGTTCCTTGTTTTTCAGTGCAGCATAGTATTCCATTGTGTGAATATACCAGAGTTTCTCTGTCTATTCATTTGTTGATGGGCACTTGGGCTGTTTCCAGCTCTTTGCTATTGTGAACAAAGCCACAATAAACATGGATGTGCAACCACATTGTTCTTTGTAAAGTACAATTTCTCGAATAATTTGCTCAGCATATGCATCAAATAGGTATGGAGGAAGGATGCCTTGATGCACACCTGCCTTGATTTTAAATCATGCAGTTGGTATTTCTTGCTCTGTTCTTCCTAGTCTAGTTATAGGTTTTGTAAGTGTATAATTAAAAAGTGTTCTGGGATTCCCATTGTTCTTAATGTTAGCCATAATTTTATGCAGTTCACATAGTCAAATGCCTTTGCATAGTTAATGAAACACAAATAGACATTCTTCTAGTATTCATTGCTGTTAGCCAAGATCCATCAGACATCAGCACTGATATCCCTGGTTCTATGGCCTCTTTTAAACCCGTCTTGAATTTCTGGCGGTTCTCTGTCAATGTACTGTTCTAGCTGTACTGTTTGAGGAATCCTATAATGGTGATATATATTAAGATTGAGAATTGGGTGAAATGTTAAAAATATAAAGCAAGTAATAATGGAACTGTATCTTGAAAGAGGATTAGAAATTTAGCAAGAGGAAGAGAAAGGGCATTTCAGATGATGTAGGAGCCTCGCCAGAGGCCATGAGGATAGGACTTGCCTGCTAAATTTTACTTAATTGGTAAATTTTTTTTTTAAGACCAGTCAATTAATTGGTAAAATTTTTTGGGGTTAGAATTAGATGAGATTTAAGCTAAACCCCTGGTAAAATATGTTGGTGACACCTTAATTTGTTTCATACTCTTTGCAACCTTGTTTTCCAGGAACCAGAATCATTTATGATCGAAAGTTTCTGTTGGATCGTCGCAATTCTCCTATGGCTCAGACTCCACCCTGCCATCTGCCCAATATTCCTGGAGTCACCAGCCCTAGCACCTTAATCGAAGACTCCAAAGTAGAAGTAAACAATTTGAACAACTTGAACAATCATGACAGGAAGCATGCAGTTGGTAAGAGATGCTGACTCTGGGCTGTGGAACCCTGGGAATTTGTCGTTCTGCTGTCATTCAGTAAATGTTGCTGCGCCAATGGCAGTGATGTTGAGTTTTTATGTTTCGAGTTTTTCATAGCTCCCTCAACGTATTGATATTCTCTGGAGACTCCCTAAGTTCCCAGTAGTGATCAAATATAATCCACTTATTAGGAGAAGGGGAATCTAAAATCCAGGAACTGTGAAACCTTGCAGGTGACTCCTAGAACCAAGCCTTAAAGCCAGCTAGCTTACTGGATTAAGGATAAAACACAGAAAACAAAACAAAAACCAGAATTTCCATTACCTTCCGTGGACAGACCTTGTTTTCTTACAAAAATAATCTTTTTCTTTTGTTTACTACTTTCAGGGAAAAGTGAGGTAGTTTTTCTCTCCCATTTTGCAGAACTGCCCATAGTGTTTAAATAAGCATTCTTTTCACACACAGACACACGCTTAGTGATACGTTATCGTTACCTCTGAACAGTAGAGTCAAACACTGCTGTCCAGTTGAGTCTGACTCACAACACCCCTCTTTCTGGTTTCTGAGGTTGTAATATTTACAGAGGAGACAGCCTTCTTTTTCCTGCAGAGTGGCTGCTGGATTCTGTCACCTTTCACTTAGCAGCTTGACATGTTAAAAAAGCATCTTGTCACCAGAATGGCTCCTTGGTGTGTGTGGGGTGTTATTGTTAAGTGCAGTCATGTTGAGTTCAACTCATAGTGACCCAGTGAACAATCAGCCTGAACCCTGCCCTATTCTGTGCCGTCCTCACCATCTACAAAATAGTCAAGCCCATTACTGAAGTCACTGTGTCAGTCCGTCTCACTAGAGGTCCTCCTCTCCTTCGCTGACTTCTGTGCCCTGTCTTTCCAAACATGATATCCCTCTCCAAAGAATAGTCTTGCCCAGCAACATGTCTGTAGTATGAAAGATAAAGCTTCACCATCTTTGCCTCCAAAGAGAATATAGAAGAGCAAGGTGGAAATGCTGGCTTCTAAAGTCAAAGGTTTGCATTTGATGACCTCTGTACTTGAGTTTATGAGCCCTAGCTAGTGGCTTAAGACGTATGTGTCTACCACTAGCCCAAAAAAAGATCAGTGGTTCAAATCCACAGGTACCTGAGGGAGAAAGACAGTCTTCTCCCATAAAAATGTACAGCCTTGGAAACCCAAGTTACTGTGAGTCAGAATCAGCTCCATGGCAATGGGTATTGGGTGGGTACTTAAGCTAGCATTCTGCTTCTTAACATTTGCAGTGTTTTTTTAAATGGACAAATAGTGATTTGGAGCACAGCCAAATTGCAAAACCGTGGAAAAGAGTATGCTGACATTATAGATGTAATCGAGCTTCCTAGGAGCTACTGTTTTATTATTTTATTTTATTGTTAAAAATATATAAGAAGAAAACATATATCTATAACTAAATGTTTGCTTTTTTGAAGTATACAGGTGAATGCATTAATGACATTCACCATATTTTGCAGTCACTGTCTGTTTCCCAAAGTTTCATTACTCAAGCTGAAACTCAGTACCTCTTAAATAAGACCTTCCAAGTCCCCCCTCCTCTAGCCCCTGTAACCACCAATGACTTTTGTATCTCCATGCATTAGGTTGTTTCGCATTAGTGGGATTGTACATTATCGATCCTTTTGTGTCTTGATCATTTCACTCTGTGTAATGCTTTCCAGGTTTATTCCTGCGCTGGTAGGCATTACTTGTTTTAAGTCAGCTCAGAATGGAACAGTTTGAATTTTTTTTTTTTAGCCTTCATCTAGAGGTATGACAGTTAACACTGCTTTTCCTTCTTCTGAACCTTCTGTCTCCTCCCTCCTACCTAGGTGATGATGCTCAATTTGAGATGGACATCTGACTGCCCTGCAAGGAGCAGAAGGAAAGCAGCAACACTGATACTGTGTGTCCCTGATTTGGCCAATAGGATCAACAATGCACAGATGAAGAGGCAGTACCAGCGGTCCCTGTCACAATCTCCCACGTTTTCTCCTCCTCCTCTACTTCCTTCTCTTCTTTTGGGTGCCAAATGATGCAAAGATTAACTTTATGTAACAGTTTCTCCTCGCTGTTTCCTGTCCCCCTTCCCTGTTAGACAAATTTGATGGAAATCCCTTAGTATCTTTCTGTAGAACTAAGCAGCCTCAAAGGAAAACCGTAAACTTTGGCTTCCTTGGCCATTTTCTATTGAGAGGAAAAAAATTTCCAAATCAAATTATCACCTTACCTATAGCTGCCTGACTGGGAAGTCTGGAATGGGTTCAGAGGTTTGACGGGTCTCGAATTACTCATGTTCCTTACCCTCTGCCTGTATCCCATCTGAGATCTAGTGTTACCAGAGTCTGAGTTTGGGGTCTTTCAAAACTGTTAGGGGAAAATCATAAAAAGGGAGCTGCATCCCCTTTAACCTTCGGTGTTTGTCCTAAGGGACAGTGTATGGATTTTGCAATTCTGGCAGCATTTCCTTCTGATACTGTTTTGAGGCTGCTTCCCATCGTTCTCTGGGGACACTCTCTTCTGTCTTTTGGTGTTCATCTTTTCTTCCCTTTCCATAGAACATTTGTGCAAAACTTTCTACATCAGAGAGAGCTCTCTGGATCCAACTCTTTCTTCCCCTTTCACGCGTGCTCTTCCCTGCTTACATCTGGCTGCCTGCAGAGTCCACCTGTAGACCCCAGGCACCCTGGTGAATTGGTCAGATCAGACCTTCACCAAGTAAGAGAGGCACTTGGAGCTCCACTTGGTGGTTAAGGCCTGATGTAATACTCAAGTATGGTCTCTTGAAGACCAGTCGGGCACCCAGTCTCAGTAGCCCAGTGACCATTGTTATTTGTCTCAGATTATCATTTCTTATATTTCAAATTGAGAACTGACTTTCAGAATGTTCTCGGGGGCAGGGGACCATTCTGCCTCTGTTGGCCTGCTTTGTCGGGCTGCTGGGATAGATAAGCATGGAGTTACAAATGCGTTCTTCCCAGTTTTCCTCCCTGTATCAGCATGGTCCCTTTTCTTACCCTCCTCCTGTCCCTCCTCTTCTTTTCTCTGACAGGCCATTTTTTAAATTTATATCAACCTCAAATGTTGGTAGCTGATAATATCTGTCACCCTTATCTGAGGGGTGGCTTTTTATTTTTAAAATGACTACAGACCTATTTTTGGATATGTTTTCAGTACGATTTTGAGCAGCAACTTTTTAATTACACATCTTGTGGTGTTTGGGAGATGAGCCGTGACTGCTGTCCCAGGTCCACGTCCTGTGTCTCTCCGGTCTCTGTGCACTCCTCATTCTCTAGTTTTGTGTGTGCGTGTTTTGGAGTTTGTAGTGAGCGGCTTGTAAAACCGGGCCATTGTGCCCTGCTGTGGGTTGTATGAAAGCCTCATTCTTCTGCCACCTTGCTTTCTCCTTCCCCCTCAGCCCTACCCCACTCCCCTGTGACTTCTGTCTTGGCACATTCATTGCGAGAGAGTGACTCTCCTCCTAGAGGGACAGTGAAGTGGCCTCTAGTGTTCTGGGAATTTCCTGTTCAATTCAATATCTGAGACCCTCTTTAGCAGATATCAGATCCCAGGGTGTGAGTAAGCAAGGCAACTGGCTAAGAAAGCAAGCTATTTTCCTTTTGAACTATGAAAAGATCATTTGCGAACACGGTTTTGACAGACGAGAGGAGGACTGTCTAAAGGAACTTTATCTGCTTTCTGCTACAAAATGTGAATAGTTCAAAGATGGCTAATATCTCTTAGGAATAAGCTAAATCTCCGGTTTTGAGTCTCAACATTTGATCATCAGAGAAAGTACTTTTTTTATTTGTTTCATGTATCCCTGTTCCGATTTAAATTAAACTCTAAATTTTGTTTTACATAATCTTAGGACAGCTTAAGTTGCACTGTACTTTTCATAAGAAGCTTGCCCAGGGCCTCTCAGGAGAGAGGGATTTTTTTGTGGGGGCAGGGAATGAAGCGTCATTCTTCATGCCCTGGCTGTGGCATCCTGTGGAATCTGGCCGTAGCTAGCAGCTGATAAACCTATTGGTGAGCAGAGCTATTTGTCCTTCTTGCTCTTCTTTGCTGCAAATGAAAACTTGGCCTCCTCACTGAACATGGGAAATGGATTTCAAATGTGAGAGATTGAGTAGCATCTTGGGGTCTTTGTGCACACACACTCCTAAGCAGAGAAGATATTTCTCGTGTTCCTGGGCGCATGGGCTGTCCTGTCAGATGCCGCAGTTGCAGAGGCCCCTGCCCTTCCCCTGCCCCGCAGGGCTGCTTTACTGCTTGCTTACTCTTCGCTGGGAACCACCACTACTTGGATCTCTGTAAATCAGCGAATTCCACCAGGCAGGGGACAACAGGTGACACCTTTGCTTCATGACTCTTAGAATTGTTTTCAGGGCAAACCAGAATCCAGTAGGTGGTTCTCTTCTGGAAGGACCTTCACAGAGGAATATGAATATTCTGGCTTTTTTCTTAGGGTTTCTTAAAAATCTTAGGGGCTGTTTGTATGCTTTTCTTTTTATGTAGAAAGAACGTTTTCTACGCTTCTAGGGAAAATCTATCTTCGTATGAAGTGATCTTCTCTAAATGCCACCAGGAGGCATGCATTGTCATAATTCCGCTTTGAGTGTAGTTCATCGAGTTCAACTTTCTGCTATTCTGGTTAAATAGATAATAGTGTATGAGAGCACAGATAGAGAGGAATCTCCTTGTATTGTGCTTTCAAGCCAAGAGTTTTTTTTTCTTCATCCTGGATTATTGGTGTGTAACAATTTGTCTCAATTAGTGTATTGAAATGACACACGTTGTGAGATGGTATATTGATTGGAGAACTGAATATGATGGTTCTGGGACAGAGAGTCTTGTGAATTGACAGTCAGCTGGAGTTGGAAGATTGGCTTCCAAGTTCTCTCTTTGCGACTATTAGCAGGGTGGCCCCTTTTCATAGGGCGTCATAGATGCTCTCACCATGGCAGCTGGTGCCTCCAGAGCTAGTGATCCCAGAGAGAGGGCCAGTCGGAAGTTACAGTGCCTTTTATGACATAGCCTCTGAAATCACATGCTGTCACTCCTCCCATTCCATCAGAGCAAACCTCTTAGCCCAGCTTACGCTCATGGGGAAGGGAGTTATACACTAGCTCTTAGATGGAGCAGTATCAAAGGATTGATGGAGATAATATGTTGAGAGAGATGCAACTGAAAACAATTTATATTTTCCTTTCTCTCTTTACCCAAGTCCTCTTTTTGACTGGAGAGAGGTGGTGAGAAATGGAAGTTCCCGGGAGAAGTATAACATCAGTAATACCCTTGCCTGATTACCAGCAGCCCATGGGCACTTATTACAAGTCCTAGGCTTAATGTCTCTTAAGGCTCATTTACCACTTACTCGCTATCTCCCTTAGCCAGGGATTGGCAAAGAAAGGAAATTGGATCCTTCTAGTTAAGCCACTAAAGCTGATGTAATTGGAATCAGCGTTGTTGAGCAAAGAGGGCAAACATGAATTAGATGTTGGGTTATTGGCATAAGGAAAATGGATCCTATTCATGATGAAACAAGATTGGATAACGAAGCCAGGACCCCACTGGAGTCAGTGCTCAGCACCTGGTCTCTCCACGAGCTTAGACAGGTTCAATGTCTTACTGAGGACTTCCCAGTAATAAAGTAGGAAACTTCTGGGGTTATAAATGCCTGTTTGTGCTTGGCTGCTTGTTTGGTCCTGGGCTTCCTAGTGTGTTTTTAAAGAGCCAATTTTATTTTTACCCTTAAAAGAGGGTAGAAGAGCCTTAAATGAGGCTTGTCATGTCAGATTTTTTACTGAATGTCTATGTATTTCTGACACCCGTTCCACCAAGTATTTTGAAATTTCAGACATCTCAAAGATGCAAATCATATTTGGACATAGGCTCTGCATCTTCCCAGTGTTTTCCTGTCTGCAGCTCTGTTTTTGAGTGTAGCTGCAAAAGCGTCATTGCTGCCAGCGCAGCTGTAAGAGGTACTTCTTCCAGAAGTAAGGACTTTACCTTTCATTTTGTTTCCCCTTCTATTGAGGTGGAGTCAAAATAGAACAAAACTGGTGGCTGTTGGTTCGAGTCACACTCAGGCCATGTGTGTATTAGAGTGTCAAAGTAACTATGCTCCTAAGATTTTTCAATGGCTGAGTTTTTAGAGTTAGATCTCCAGACCTTCCTTCCAGTGTGCGTCTGGGTGAACTTGAACCCCTCATCTTTTGGTTAGCAGCCAGGCAAGTTAATCATTTGCACCACCATTTTTGCTGCTTGGCTTACCTGCTTTTAAGAACTCTTCGATTTTTATCTTCCCACATTTGCATTAGAATACAACCTGCTGTTTATGTGGCTTTTAACCAGAGACCATTTTTCAGCCAGTGTATATTGAGCTGCCTGCTTTGAGTCAAGCTAACAAGGTATAGGGCCCAGCTTTTGGCAACAGTATTTGAGAGACTGAGGCTTTTTCCACAGTCTGTATTTTGGAAACAAGCTGCTTGAAGCCAAGGCCCTTATTCCTCTCTGTTGCTCTTTAGAATAGAGGACCCTCTGTCTTGCCCAGAACTTAGCCTTAGCTTGTCCTCTGGACTCCATGCATACAGACTGCTAGTAATCCCAGAAACCTGATCACTTACCCAGGCATTCCCTCTGGGAGGGGCTTGTGTTTGTTTAGAAGAAGCATTGTTTCTTTGGGAGGTCAGTTCCTGTCTAGACTCCCAGGTCTTCATCTCTCTCTTCTTAATAAAATTTATAGACATTTCTTGCTGAAAACTATAAAAATCACTCATACAGAGTAATTTTTCTAACTAATCATTCCCATTTCCCACTCCCTGGGATTTCATCTTCTTTATCTAGGCTGCTCCCGCAAGTTGAGACCAATTGTCAAAGCTTCGATTTAGGGAAGTTCCACCTTTTCAAGTCCCTGTTCAGATGGTCTATGGTTTCCTTTTTGCTTAACCTCTGCTTGCAGCCCTGTCAGACCATGTATGTCATGGTGCCACATGGGAAATCTTACTGAGATGAAACAAAGTTCCCAGGGATCTAAACTCCTGCTCTGCCACCTTTCTAAGGGTAGGAGGCTGGCAGAGATGCTGCACTGCTTGATAATCATTTGGCTAAGTGGACATGTCCAAAGGGAGATCTTACTGGTGCTTAAAACCAAAATTCCTGGATAACCCAAGTTAGAGGGTTCCAGGAATGTGTTGCACGGAATAACCAGTCTAGGCCCAATGTACCCCTCCCTCTCTATTGTAATCTTTTAAGAGAAAAAAAAAGTCTTGAGCCCAGGCCAGGGGTGATTTTTACTTGAAACCATGGAGTGTGTGTGTATGCGTGTGTGTGTGTTGGGGGGGGGGGGAACATGAACGTAGCAGACAAGCTGTGTGAGTGAGCCATCCTGCCCCCAAGGTCGTGTCTGCATCACCAAGCACAGGGAGCCAGTGCCTTCCTTCACCTGAAGATGGCGCCCGTCGTTCCTCTGCTTTCCAAGGGGTTAAACCTTAAAGAAGGTGTCTTAGGGAGCCACAGGATATTTGCAAATTCAGGTGTCTGTTTTAAGCGTCTTTAAACTATTTTGTAAAACACGATGCCCTTTCCCTGTGTTGTTGGTGCCACCAACAGTGCACTCACTCCATTCTGAATGGAAAGCTGAGACTGCTCACACATCCCTTGGTCTCCCCTGTGTCTCCCTGAACCCCTCTCGTTTATGTCACCGTCATGGGTGGATTTCAGAGGCACCGGGAAGTCCTTGAATTACGCAGTCCCGAGTGACTGACTCCACAATCAGTCCTGTGTTTTAACTGTCCTTCAAAACCAGCAGGTGTTTGGAAAGGAAGTGGGGGAAATCACCAATAGTTGCTGTTACAGTTAAATCAATAAAGATCTTGAGTTCAACTTGGCACTTTCTTTAGTTTTTTAAAATTCAGATAAAATCCTGTTGAGAATTCTTTCACACTTTGGGAGTCTTGGCCGATGGGGAGGGGGAAGATGGGCCGAGAGAGTCATCTTCTTTGTTTCACTTCCTGTGGACACTTGGGAGCCCCTGCACGATGCTGTGAGCCTGCTGGAGGAGCAGGGCCTGCGGCCCATGCTTGGGAGCTGGGAGGAGGTGGGTGTGCTGCTGGATCTGTGCACCAGGCGCCTTTCCTCTCTGAAAGGGGGTGGCGTTGCCCCACAGAGCACTAAGACGGCCATCACATCTTAGGTCTCAAAATAGACCGGGTAACCGGAGTATCTGGCTCCTCACCATTGCCAATCCAGCAGGTCTCTCGCGCGCGCGTGTGGGTGTGGGTGTGTGTGTAAGATTTTGTCCTTAAGATTTAATGAGCAAAAGTCCACAAGTAAATCTTAAGAGACTTAAGGATGGAGAAAAACCCCTGTGTATAGGGCTCTGAAGGGAAGCACTGGTGGCCTAGTGGTAAGAAGCTGCTCTGGAATCTCAAAGGCACGCGGTTCAAATCTGTCACCTGCTCTTTGGGAGGACGGGCAATCTCTGGTGTGATTACCTGCATCTGAAAACCTGCTCAAGGGTCAGCTATGGGTCAGTTCCAACTCGATACACAACATGGTACTCTGAAGGTCATGGCCACCTGTGTTTTTCACTTTCTGCTCCCAGTTACATAGAGGAATGTACTCAATTTCCCCTACTCAGCTGTTAGCCCTGCTATAGGAACATGAAACCTCTGTCTTGAATGCAAGTTGAAATAGCTTCATGTTTAAAACCAAAGCCCTTTCCCTGGCCCAAGTTAGGGCAGGGCACACTTCAGAGACAATATTTCCTCCAACTTGTAACACTTCAGCCAGCACTGGACTCCAGCCATGGAGCTGTGCTGCTAGGCATGGGGAGCTGAGCCTCAGCCCCAGAGAGCTCTGGCCAGGTGGCATAATGGCCTTGCTGCTGGCATGTCCAACATGGAGCTTTCATCAGGGGTCTGCAATATGCTTGCTGTTCATGTACTTGGTGCCCAGCACCTTGTGCTTCATGAGGCAATGCCTTGTCACTGGGGAGTGTTGTTCTGAGTCAATAGAGCTGTTGGCTCAAACACACCCACAAGCTGTAGCCACAAATAGATTGACCTTTAGCTTTTCTGGCCCCAGCCGTAGAACTATTTATTGGGGCACCTACTCAGTAAAGATGCTCTAAAAAAGGTTCTGGGAACAAGTATTTACTGCCATGAACTTTTCAGGAGTGAGGTTGGGTTCAGATCGTTGGTTCCAAAGGCTGTGGTTTTGACCCAAAAGCTCTGTGCTATTAAAAGTAGCGAGCTCTGGTGGCTTAGTGATAAGGAACTGCACTGCCAACACAAAGGTACACTGTTCAAATCTGCCAACTACGAGAAAGACGGGGAATCTCATGGAATTAACTGGAAACCTGCTGGAGGGTCAGCTGTGGGTCAGTTCCAACTCATACAACGGAAATGCTATTAAGTGTGCGCCCCCCCACCCAGAATTTAAGTGACTGCTCAGCTCTAAACCCTGTCACTTGTAAAGTGGTCAGGCTGTGGATTCTCTGGGATTTCCGTTTAGAAAGGAGTCAGACCAGCTGACTCCACAAGGCTCCCCTTCCTGTTCTCAAGAGTCGGGTAGGATCCTATTGTGATGCGGAGTGTGGTTAGGGCGGGCCCTGGACCAGGAAATGAGCAGCTGGAATGGTTTCACCGCTGAATGAGGGAATTGAGGCTGCTCAAGCCCAGGCCTGGTTAGCAACTCCAACCCCAGCCTGGACCAGGACTCCCACCTTGAGCCAACTAAGGCTGCCGGTGAGGCCTGTCTGAACTCTGCAGGGCTTCCCACATGACTGGCCTCATTTTCCTAGACTCCAACACAAGTGGATGTGCTTCTTGGGAAAGGAGAGGGGGAGAGTATGTGTATACATTTTTTTCTAGACTCATTCCTAATAGCCTCGCACACCTCAAAAAAGAAACACCTGCAACAAGGCCAGCAGGGAGGAATGGAATTGAGGTCCTTTCATCCAGAAGATAAACTCTGTGCTCATGCCAAGTGGCTGGGCAGTGGAGCTTCCTGCTGCTGTAGAACCTGGAACTTGAGACAGGAAGGAAGGTTGATACTACACCTAAGCCAGCTGGTGTTCACTCTGCTTTATGGTGCCCTCGTGTGTCAGCAGAAACTGGGCTGTAGGGTTTTAATGGTTGTAACTTTTGGAAGCAGATTTGCAAGCCTTTCGTCAGAAGAGCCTCTGGGTGGATTTGAACTGCCAACCTCCTAGTTAGTAGACAAACACATTGTACCACCCAGAAATGTCTGATGATTAAGTAAAAGGGACATCCCTGAGGCAAGCTTTCTAAGCTTTAATAGTAGATGGGGATAGGCCCAGGGGACAGTGTGGCTTAAATCTCGTGGCTCTTCAGAGTCTTGCAGGTGGCATTCACAGGAACACATTAGGATCTATTTCATTTTATAGGAAGAGGCTGAGGTCACTCCCCTGAGGTCATGGTTCTCAGTGGATGAGCTTCAACCATCACCAGCTCTTTTCCCGCCCCCAGTGCAGGACCTTTCCCGTCTGCTAATCAGCAAGCTTGAGGCCTCATTAGCAGTACACACTGAGAGACTGAAGTAAATTATTACCTACTTTAATAGATTGGGTTGTCAACCCAAGAAGACTGACTCAAATACTGAAAGGGTTCCAGCTTCTGTAGTCCAACATGACCCATTCATTCTGAGCTCTTCTGTCCCTTCAAAGGCACCAGCTGGCTTTCACAGTAGCCTACAATGGCTTCATTGTACAACTCAATAGCAGAGAGACTCAGGCCAGGGAGCCTCTGGACAAGGCAGGCAGACTGCTACTGGACAGCCAGAAAGATGGAGGGGCTCCCCAGCCCAGCCTGGGCCAACGAGAGCAGACAGACTTGGCTAAAAGTGATACTTAATCATTTTGGAGGGGATAGGGTTGAGGAGGAGTGTTACCTTAATATATTAAAAGCTATCTCACCTTAAAAAAAATTCACATGTGCCCCAAATTTTACATGCAACCCAAAGTTCAAAAAAAAGAAAAATCCATAGAGTTCTTGCACGAGGACCTTCACTTGTCACTAGCTTCAGTAAAGAGAAAGCCCAGCAGCCCCTTCGCCAGCTTCCTCCTGCCTCTTCCCAGCAGCAGCCCGACTCCAGTGAAGAGAGCTAGGAGGAAGGCTCTGTGGGCTTGCTCCACAAAGCCCTCCATTTGCTGAGTGGGCAGCCCTTCCTCTTCAGTTCTGGTGGACAGAGCAACAGTGTCCCCCAGTTTTTTCCCTCAGTGGATCAGATGGGGATCATGGCTTCCAGCAGCTTTCCAATTCCAGGATTATAAGCATCTCCAGCGTCCCCTCCACGTCCTCTCAAAGGCACCCGCATTCTTCCACTATCATGTCTTTGTGATGATCCAGAAGAACGCGACCGTTTTCCACATAGAGCATGCTCAATGGCTTGGTCTTCACGGGGGCACAGCACAGGGAGGGGACTCTGTGGGGCTGGTAATATTTCAGCAGACTCTGTAGAGGGAAGGAGACGATGTCAATGCCAATGGGAAAGAGTTACTGAGGGCCAACATCAGTTTCTAAAAAAAAAAACCACACCACCCCCCTGTCACTGTTCATGAAGTAATCAGTACACCAACTTACATCAACTCTAAAATAACTTTAGCTACTTTTTGGGACATCTTTCCAAAGTCCGTTTTAAAGTTCCATTTGTCTGAATGGAGCCAACTTTATATAGTCTCCAGTCTAGAATGATAACTATTTAAAAAAAAAAAAATCCCAGAAACTCCCTTTTAGCTCCATAAATATGAAGCCAAGGAAGGAATTATGGGGGAAAAAATTGGATTTGCTTTACGATGCAAAGAAAGGCAAATGAAGTCAACAGATAAAAGCCCCTTGTGCATTTGAGAACTGAGGTAGGTGAGTTGTCCCCATGGCCAGCCATGACTCTAGGTCACTGTCAGAGCTAGCATTGGGACTAGCTGAGTCTCTATGGGTTGTTTTTCTAAGCACGCCGTAGGTGGGCTGGTGAGGGGAATGGAAGCTCAGGAGGGCCCACTGCTCAGGACAGAGCCTCTGAGGCCTGAGGCCCCACCTGTGCAGCCTTGGCAGGAGCTCAGCTCACACGGCCGTGTCCCTCAGGGTCTCTAAGCCAAGCCTGAGGCTTGGTGTTAGAATGCACTGCATATCCAAAAGATGGCTTACCCCAGGATTCAGACCAAGAGAAAAGCATTTGGTCCCATATCATCTTTAAGGGTAGCTCAAAATCACTTAAAACATCAGTATCCCCACAATAAGCTCTTGTCTGTCTCTCCCTTTTTCCTAACTCCCCTACCCTCCTATTCCTCTCCCTCCACCACCTCCAAGACCACACGGTGGTCAACAACACTGGTTGCAGCCTCTGGCCTTGTCCTCTGTGAGATGAGTGGCCAAGGCCTGTTTCAGACATCATAAACATGGCCACCGTTTGAAGAGACTCCTAAGTAGCTTGGTGGGATCTCTTGAAATCCTAGTGATGACCAGGAGCTCTGGTGACCTGGTCCATGGAGAACCATGCTGCTAACCAAAAAGGCAATCAGAATTCACCAGTGGTTCCGTTTCCTTCAAAACCCACTGCTGCCCTGGACTCAAAGGCAATGAGTTTGAATGTTTTCCTAGTAATGATAATTACAAACGTGTCTATTACCCAGCAACAACCGCACATGCTTTATGCCTATCACCTCTTTCAATCCTACAGCAACCCTGTGAAGAGGCAACGGCCGTCTCCATTTGGCAGATGGAGAAACTGAGGCTCAGAAAAGCCACCATTGTTGTTAGGAGGGGCCGGTCCTTGGAAAAGGACATCATGCTTGGAAAAGTTGGAGAGTCAGCAAGATAGGAAGACCCTCAACAAGATAGATTGACACAGTGACACTAACATGTGGATTTGGTATGTCAGAGATAGTCAGGTTGGCACAGGATAGGGAAGGGTTCAGATTCACTGTTCATAAGGTCACTTGTGTTATAGTGGACCCAATGGCATCTAACAACATCAATAGTTAACAGTTACTTCCATCAAATCCTAGATTCTGAACTTCCTGTTCTAGCATGTCAGGGCCAAGGAGGAACTGAGACCTTCTAGTTCAGCCCCTTCATTTTACCAAAGGACAAAGGCTGAAGGAAGCAATGCTTTCAAGGCTCCATACAGGGACAGGACTAGAGACTATTATGATTGGTCCTCGGCCCAGGTGTGGCATGTGTAGATTCCCATTTAACTATGAATGCATGAATGCAGCAATTAGATAGCAAGGGTCATGTTCCCCCTTATTTAGCAGAATGCCTTCATCTTGTCTCCACCCCCCACACCTTACTGCCATCCTTTCCCTCTGGCCCTGGCCTCATACCTGCATGTATGCGTGGTTGGTTGGGAAATACTCCTCCCCAACAGGGATGGGACACTCGCCCTCACAGCGGTAGGCATTGTACTGCTTGGGGTAGATGATCCAGGAGCCCCATCCAATCTGGTTGAAGTCCACCAGGAACTTGACCTTCTGGCACATTTTGTTCTTGTCGGCCTGGTGATGTCGACGGTACCGCCTGCCCCTCTCCCGGGCCAGCTGTCCCTCCTGGGCCCGCCAGGAGCTCTCAGCCTCCCACAGCAGCGTGGAGCCACCTCGCTGCCTCCTCTGCTCCTTGGATAGGTTAGAGTAGAGCATAAGCAGCACGCCAGTGACCGGTGGCTTGGGGGGCCGGTGATGACACTCTCTGGCCTCTGAGGACAGCCACTCCTGCAGCTCCCTAGGGTGCTTCAGCCACTTGGCAAGTGGCCTGGTAACCTCCAGGACCATGCTGCCCGAGGAGAAGGTGACCTGGGTGGGAGTGACAGTGAACAGGTCCATTTGAAGACGCTCCTGGCAGTCAGCTGGGTCCTGCTCTGTGTCCAGCTTTGGCTGGTGGAAAATCTTGATGGAGACAGGAGCCTTGAAGAGAAGGTCCAGGGGGCTGGCCAGCTGCAGCCGGAGCTCGGCCCATTCCAGGTCCTCTTCTTGGCTCAGGAAGGAAAAGTCAAAAGCAAAGGTCCAGTTCTGCCCCTCCATCTCCACATCTGGGCGGGAGGAAACAAGGAAAGAAACAAGGTGAAGATCAAAATCACAAGTCATGTTCAAGCCCTTAGGCCAAATTTACACCTTGATAACGCTGCCCAGTCCAATCTGAAGCTAAAGACATGGACTCAGAGAGGTGAAACTGCTTGCCCTGAGTCATCCTTGGAAGATCCCAGAGTCAAACCGGGATTTGCCTAATTCCAAGGCCCAAACTCTAAGTCACTCTGCCACTCCTCCTCCTGACACTGCTGACAGAAACCAGCAAACATTTGGTGAGCCCCCTCTCACTCTCTGTACTCTCCCTCTCATGCCTACAGTCTGAGGCCAGCACCACCACCACCCCGTGAGCCATCTGACCTAAACTGTGGAGTAAGTCATCTCCTCCATGCTGCTTGCTCATCAGAAAAGGTGGCTGAGTTCCCCAGATGCATGGAAGCTGATTTCACCGACAGGCTTGGGCTCTCAGGATATGCAGGATCAAACACAATCACACCCTCTCTAATGCCAGTTTCCAGTGAAGAAGGCAGAAACTTCAATGTCCCGAAAATCTTTGGTTTCAAAGACATTGTAGGCAAGACTTTGCACAGTGGTCATCGCCTGTGTGTTACATTATGCCCACCGCCTCCTGCCCAAGTCAGTCTCTGTCTCTCTCTCTCTCTCACACACACACACCACCCACCCTTAACTTTTCTTGGGCAAACATCCAGGGATCATGCAAACCCTGGCCCACCTCTGTTCTTCTCATCCAAGATGGCCAAACTCAAACCTGATGAAAAGGGGTGGGAAGCACATTCCGTTTTATTTCGTCCTGGACTAATTTGGTCCAACGTTTGGGAACAGCACATATTTATGGATGTTTCAGGTCACAGAAAAGTGATATTTAAACAGATTCCAAGCCTAGTGTTCTCTTCTTTGCCAACGGGAACAGTTAGATCCTACCCATTTCTATGTTACACTGAGGGCTGAAGGAAATAAAGAGGTTTGGTGGGCAGAGGGAAGGGGTGAAGGAATTAGGAAAGATCCAGTGGGGATCTGAAAAGATAGGGTCATAGTGGGCAATGATGATTCATTTTATAAGAACAATGTATGGGAACGTATTTATGAAATACAATGTGAATGAAGGAATGTGTGAAATACAATGCATATGAATGAGAGAAAAAAAAAACAAAAACACCACCAACCAACCAACCAACCAACCAACTTTTAATGCAAAAAGAGGTTTGAAGGATTTTTTCCATCAAGCGGATTCTGACCCACAGCAACCCTGGGTGTGACAGACCCCCTAGCTCTGCAGAGTTCTCAATGGTTGAGCTGTTATCCATTCCTTAGACAGAGGCCAGGGAGTTTTCTTTAGAAATAAAAGGGATCCTTTTATGGACAGATCCTACAAGTAGTGATGTTTTAGTTGCACTTGGGGAGAACACAAAGCATTTCCCCTTCTTTTGTCTTACAAAGCACCTTGGATCAGCTGTTAGGCTAATTTCACTGGGAAATCCCACTTGCCCTATAAATTGCAATTAAGTCAGCCAGCATCCTCCCTCCACCCCTCAGCTCCTCCCAGCCCAAGCTTGCTGCTCCTCTTCACTTAATTTCCACTTTCCTCCTCATTAGCAAGTTCAGGGCGAATAACAGCCCCCGACTAGCAACCCTTCCCAGAGGTGTGGGGACAGGAGGTGGCTTGATCCCCTGGGAGTACCACCTGGAGGAGGAGGAGGAGCAGAGCGATGAAGGGGGTGGGATGAGGTAGGTCATGAGGTGCTGGGCATGTAACCACATGCCCTAGGAGGCCTGGGGGCAGTGATTTGAAAACCATTTTATCTCAAGTACCTACAAATGGCCTTTTTGAAGCAGGTACTTCAGATCATGGGCTTTGGAATTCTAATGGTGATGGTTACAAGCTTTGGTTTTGTCTCTTCCAGGTGATCTGAGTACTTTTCTTCTCTGAGCCTCAGTATTCCTGTAGCTGGGTCCTAGGAACTACCTCCCAGGTGTGTTATGAGGATTAACTGAGCCCTTGCTAACGGCTCTTACTCTAGGTGACCCCCATGCACAGTGGAACCAAATACTGCCGGGCCCTGGTGTCTTAATCTGGAAACTGTTGGAATTTGTTGAGCTCCATAACTAGGCGTGAGGGTCACAGGTGTGAAACTGAGCCCCCATAGGTGAGAATTCTACCCCTGAACCAACACTGCCTGACATTAACTGAGATAAAGGAGGCGTGTATAAGTGCTTTGCTAACAACCCAAAGTTCAATAAAACCTGGCTGTCACTGACGTTGCCTTATTATTGCCCAGCTCCGAAAGTTAGACGTGCCGAGCGGGCAGTGGCAGACTTGGGTGGGGGGCTGACATCCTCTTGCAGTTTACATGGAGGGGTGGGGGTGAGTGTGTGTGGGGGGCACCGTGTGACTCCTGCTCCCTAGCTAAGAGCTCCCCGGGCTGCAACACTGAGTTTCCCTAGATCTGGCTTGAGTTTATTTCAGGAGTGAAACCTGCTGCGGTTGATTTGAATCTTGACCCTGTTGTTGTTACTCACCCAGTAGAACTGAGCTCCAGAGGGTTATCTCGCTATTAGACTCAGCCTTTCTGCTAAGTCAGGGTGAATCACCTACCTTCTAATTAACCATCTGCACCAGCCAAGGACCTAAGTTAGGAGCTGTTTTGTGCCTTTGAGTTGGAACCAACTCATAGCTGACCCTCCAGCAGGTTCTCAAGAGACAGGGAATTGTGCAGGAGGAGATTGCCTATCCTTTTTTCCATGGAGTAGCAGGGGATTCGAACCTCATGCCTTTGGGATTGCAGCACAACTCCTTACCACAAGGCCACCAGAGTGTTTTGAGAACCAACAATGCCTGATATGAGTTAAGAATGCCTCTACTTTACTTGGATGAGGGCGAGTATGAGAAAAGAGTTATAGACACTGAAATTCACCCAGGTTCTAAGGTACACCTTGATTCACCTCAGTTGGAAGGAAGACTTTTTAGGCTCACATGTTTGGGTTCCCTTCCCTCACCTGATACCTCTTCCACTTAAGGAAGTGAGACTGAGAAAGATGAGGGGTTTCGTGGGAAAGGCTGAGGGTATGAGCCTGAGTGCTTACTTCACATTATTATAACAGGGATTGCCATTAACAGCTTCCCAGGTGCCAAGTATTCCTAGACTTAAATTCCCCTCAGTGTTACCACCATTTGGGTGCTCAAGGTGAAGGTTAGATTAACAGGTGGAGAGTGACTGACAGACAGCGAGGAAGGCTCAGTGTTGCTCCATCCACTCCAAAGCCCATTTCACCCTTTGGTGGTGCAGGTAACAAGTCAGTTCAGCAGAGAAGGGGCAGGTGTAGGACGCCCCTTCTCTGCCGCCCCTCAGGCAGTTCAGCTGGGGTCACAGAGGAGGCTGGAAAAGTAAACCAGGCCCGACGGACACCCATGGGACTGCGAGGTTGAGTGTGAGACATTAGAACCCACTATTTCCGACTCCCAGTCTGTAATAACCACCCGAAAATCCCGAATTTTCTAGGAGGGCTCCCTCCACAGCTTGCCCCATTTCCACTTTCGGCCATTTTCTGGCCAAAAAGCACCAATTCACCATCAACTCTGTCACTGCTCCGCCCCCTTGAGTCCCCGGCCTAGGCTGGTCCCCAGATGACCCTTGCGGAGGGGGTCACCAGGCGCGGCGGGCAGGGTGGTAGAAATCCCCGCCCCCTGACCACGATCAGATTAGCAGATGTGGATTGCGCCCAGCCCGGAGCTGCGTCCCCGGGGAGCCGTCTGGCCCCCGGAGGCAGGGGGCGCGGCCGGCAGGGGTCGCCCCGGAGCGCTGGGATGTGGATTGCGCAAGGACTCGGGGATCTAGGGACAAGCAGCCCCTTCCGAGCTTCCACCTGCGCCCAGGGCCCGGGATGCGCTGCCGGGCCACCACCTGCTCTGACGCACGCGCGCTTCAGTGGGCCCCACCCCGGGACCATCCCACACCTGGGCCCCTCCTCCGTGGACCTTTGGGGTCCATGGTTGCCTCAGCTCTCGATTTCGGGGCACCCATCCGTGATCATGGATGTTACCAGGGCCTGCGGACAGACTCCGGGACCCATTCAGCCTTGCCCCGCAAAACAAAGACTCAAGACAAAAAGGTTGCATTAACAGTAATTGCTGGGGGTAAGACTGAGAAAAACTGGATAAATTATGTTTACTGCATTGAAGCCGATGAGGGAAAGAATAGTTTAAAATTAATATATTTTAGGGCATTATGATTGTCATAAGAGTCTGGAATGAGGGTTGCAGAGTGGAGTATACTTGGGGTGGGAGTGGGGATGTGCGGGGTTGGAGGGGATTGTCTACCAATGAAGGAGTTTTTCTTTTGCTTTTCAGGGAGAGAAGCGAACTGGGGGTGGGGGGAAAAGTGCAACAATGAATGAATGGAATTCCAAAATCTCTGTAGATGTTCATTGAATAATAATAATAATAATAGAATAACTGCTGTTACGGGAGCTCTGGTGGCCTAGTGGCAAGAAGCTGTCCTGCAATTCCTAAGGCACACTGTTCGAATTCACCAGATTCTCGGCTGGAGAGGAGGAGCAAACTCCTCCTGTACCAGTTGGATCCGATTCGGATTTGGTACACAACAGGGGCGGGGGGTGGGAATAACTATTATTGTTGCGTGCCATCCAGTCAGAAAATACCCATTGGTGGGCTTTCAGAGGCAGTTTAATCGCACGGGAGATTGACCATCCTTCTCCCGCATAGCTGCCAGTGGCCTCGAACCACCAGCCTTCGAGATTGCAGCGCTGCTTCTTGCCACTAGGCCACCAGAGCGCCACTGTTATTTGTTGATAGTGCTGGTGGCGTAGTCTGGAGGGAGCTGCGCTGTTAACCCAAAGGACGTGCCTCTCTTGGAGGTTCGAATCCACCATCCGTCAGCTATATAAATAGGATCCATCTCCTGCTGCGATTTGCAGCGATTTCCAAAACCCGAGGGAGGGTCAGCTATGAGTCGGTTCCCACCCGATGATGAAAAGTTTTGAGAAGTGTTAAAACATCCGGTTTAGCTCAAGCATTTTACTTCGACATTTAACCTTTTCAACACTTCGACGGGGGAGGCGCTAATTGTGCCTGTCCTGCAGATGCACAAACTGAGACGATGGGAAGGAAACAAGGTCGCAGGTCAGAACTACGCCATCAGGCTCCCACCTCGGAAGACTGCGACCAAATCGAGACCCCAAGACGTCAGAATCCTCTCCACTACCCCGGCACCCCACCTAGTGGGAAACACCCCCACCCTAGACCCAGACCCTGGAAGCGCCCTACAGTGCAACTGTTCCCCTAGACGGCGGAGCCCCTAACCGAGCTCGGCCCCGCCAGCTCAGGTTGGAGCGCCCCGTGGTGCAGACCTGGGTCCCCCCGGCTGCGACTTGGAGGGCGGCTGGCTACCTACCTTGCGCCTGCAGGCTGCGCACGAAGTCAGCCTTGAGCAGCGGGTCGCTGTAGAGCCTTAGCATATACGCGAGAGAGGAGGGAGATGAGGGTTGCCCCAGGGTCCGCAGCGGCAGGGTGCCTACCCTGTCGGCATCTGCCCGGAGCAGAGCCCACCAGGCGTGCAGAAGGACGTACAGGAGGCGGTGGGCGTTCATGGTGGGCTGGTCAGGCTACTGCGTGCGTCTCGGTCCCTTATATTCCAGGCCTCCCGGGCTGCCCCGCCCCTATCCTGCCCATCGCTGAAAGCTTTAAGATCACATGCTCCCCACCCACCCCCAATCTGGGGTGTGTGGAGAGAGACCCCCTGCTGAAGGCGGGTGAGAACAGACCCTAGCTGAGAGGAGGTCTGCAAAGCTAGGGAAAGCATCAGGTCTTGGGGGGCTCCTGATTTGCTTTCTCTGTGTACCTGAGCTGTCGCCCAGCCACCCTACTCCACAGTTTGAGGGATGAGAGAGACAGAGCAGGATTTTCACAGACAAACTGCTAAATCAAAATTGTAGCTTCCCAGTCTTGGCCTGGCCTGGGACCCCGGGCCCTTTCTCTCTTTCTTTGGCTTTCTAATCAGGGGCAGATGGGGTATAGGACATGCATGCCTGGTGAATCCCTCCCTTACACAGTCCACATGGCCTCTGGAGCACCCCTGACCTGGAGGGTCAGCCTTAGGAAAGATTGAATCCTGGGAGGATGCGGGATGAAGGTGAGCCCCAGTGCAAGGCCCTGGATTGGGTTTAACAACATGCTGCGGTGGTGAGTTCTTTGCTGCGGGGTCTCCATCTGAAAGCGCAGCCCAGCTGGAAAGGGGAAGTGGAGTACCATTAACACGAGGGACGAACCTGGCCCCCAGGTGCAGAGCTGGGTTATCCAACCAGCAGGTTGTTTTACTAATCCGTACTGATGTGAAATCGTTCACTCCAGATTAGTCAATGAGCACCAGAAAACCCATTCTCACTTTGCTTACTGGATAACTCACCCCTGACCAGGTGTGAGCTGGGTCCATCCCCTCCCAGGTACCCATCCCCTCCAGGGGCTCAGAAAAGTTGTTGCTTATAGTCTGCAGTCTCAGTCTGTCCACTGTGGAAGGATCATGGAAGACCTGGCCAGCAAAGTGAACCTCCACCTCTCTAGGCTTCATTTTCCTCATTTGCACAACAGTGAATCTTGCCTTCTTCCCTTCCAGGTGCAAAATCTGGGCAGGGCTGGAATTACCTTTAAAGAAATGTAAATCGGTTCCTGAGCTCTGGCTGATCGGTTTTCCTCCAAACAGCAGAACTCTTTCTCTACCCCCCCCCCCCCCCCCGTGCTCTTTCATAACAAACGTGCATTCTTGAGTCCACTCCAATTCACAGTCCTATAAAACAGCATAGACCTGCCCCATAGGCCTTTCTAGGTTGTAGTGTTTCTTTACTGAAAATATTTTTACTGTAATCTTTCTTTACTGGTCCTTTTCTCCCTTAGAGTGGCTGGCTAGCGGGTTTGAACTGGTGATCTTTTGGTTTGCCGCCCAGTGTTTAACAACTGTCACCAGAACTCCCTGACAAGCCCGTTAGTAGCTGGTTATCATTTATGAAGCCCTTATTTTGTGCTAAGTGCTATAGACATCAACTCCTTTTATATCATGTTCCAAAGAACCACAGGCAGGTGTTAGAAAATGGAAGGAGTCCCAACAGGCTTAACCAGACCCATGTCCGTCCCACCTACAGCCCCAAGGAGAATCTGTTAGTCTACAGACTATTAGCTCCCCAAAGCTGCAGACTATCTTCTTCATCCTGAGCTCCCTGTGGTCCATATCATAGCTGAGACCCAAAGAATCTTAATCATGTAAATAGATCAGTAAATGGCACTATTTCCGGACTTATCTAAAGATAGCATCCCCTGAGATGTTTTGTTAAACTATTGATTCCTAAATCCCAAGCAACCCAGACTTTCGGAATTAGCGTTTGAAGAAAGGGCTTGGTAGTGGAATATGTAACAAGCACCCTAGTGATTCTTATCAGACAACTCTGGGAACCTGGGTAGACTTGGGCTGTACTCAAAATTTGTGTACCACTTTTCTAGGCCAGTTTATTCTCCTGTAAAACATAGTTAAGGGAGCTCTAGTGGCCTAGTGGGTGGGGAGTCTTACCACAAGGCACAGGCTCCATCTCCCGGGCAGTGTGAATTCATTCCCCTCCCCGCCCCCACACACCCCCTGCTCCACAGGAGGAAGACGGGCCATCTTCTCCCGTTGATCTACAGCTGTGAGTCGCCTCCTACTTGATGGCAATGAGTCTTTGTGTTTGAAGACATGGTTGGAATGGTTGCAAGTAAGATGGATGTAATACCACCGAATTGTACACGTAAATAAAAATTGAAATGGCCAATGTTTTGTTATTTCTATTTACCACCAAATAAAACAAACAAACATGGCTGCAGCCACCTCATCCATGCAGATGAAATTAAGGTTAAAATTGCTTTGCAAACTCTCCAGTGTTACTTAATTGTAAACCATTATGGAGGGAAAAATGGTTTCTGTCAAGTTAATTCTGGATCATGGCAACCCTGTGTGTGTAGGGTGGCTCTGTGCTCCACAGAGTTTTCAAAGGCTGTTTTTCAAAATAAGTAGATTGCCAGCCCTTTCTTCCACATGTCTCTGGATAGACTTGAACTGTCAACCTCTCTGTTCTAGCTACTCAGGAACACCAGGCATTATGTGTATAGGTATTATAAGGGGTGTCCCATGTTTGTCATCTAACACCCCCAGCCTGGGGGTTTGCTGCCTAGAAGTCTCAATCTCTGACTCCAGCATCAGACCCACCTACAGAGACCGGAGGCATCCTCCCTCAGGGTGTACTTACAGAAAAATAAAACAAGGATAGGTTGTAGTTAGGGGGCTCTGGTGGCCCAGTGACAAGAAACTGTGCTGCAGTCCTGAAGGCATGCAGATTGAGACCACCAGTTGCTCTGCGGGAGAAGGATGGGCAATCTCCTTCCATGCAATTAAAACCTCTCAAAACCTATGTCAGCGATGGGTCATTTCTGACTCAAAGGTACACAACAACAACAACAGGTTGTAGTTAGTGCTATGGGGGACCTTGGCAAGGACAAGGATGGCAGCACAAGTGCAGACAGCTCAAGAGAATCAGCCCATATGGGGTCAAGTCCACAACCCAGATCTCCCCAAAGCCCAAGTTCTCAGAAGCCCAGTGACTCCAGTTTAAACAGAGCAGCCTGTCCACCAAGAGGCAGGAGTGGAGGTGGGGCAAGAAAGAGAAATCAATTTTTCGTATTAGACCAGAATTTATTGAGATTAAATTTAAAGTTTTATTCACCCTTTGTCCCTTGAGCAACAATGGCTCAAGTAGGTGTTCAATAAATATAAAATTGAGGCAAGTGATAGTCAGAACAGCCAACATTTATCAAACAATGTGATGCATTAGCCACTCACTTGGCATTCACTATGTTATCGTCACTCTTCAGAGATGTGAAAACAGAGGCTTAGAGGCAAGAACAAGGCGACTTGCTCAAGGCCATGGATTTGTTTTCTTGGACAAATGGAAACAGCCAGTATATGCAGGGCAGGTCTGCGGGTCACCCTGACCCTTCCACATAGATGAAGGGGTGAAAGGGTGACGCTTGTGCTAAGACTTCAACTCTCTCACATAAAAACCCTGCCTTTCCTAAGGTTGGTGACTGCAGACAGCTTTTTGCGGATGTGTATTGGCCCATTACTGAGTGGAGGCCTGGAAGGACTCTCAGGCTACAGGAGCAAGACTAACAGAGTCTGCTCATTTCTGGAGAACTTTTCCAACTCCAGAATTCTGGGCAAACAGGATTCTCTCTCACTTCTTCAGAACAAAGACAAATAGTCGTCCTCATATTCTAAAACCATTTGTTAGTCTAAGATTTGCTTCCTGCAAGGACTTAGAAAAGTCCTCTTGCCAAGGGGCTAGCACCTCCCAGCTTTCCCTGCCCCAGACAGACTGACCGACAGATTACCTGACCTGGGAGATAACCTCTGAGGGCCAGCCATCCCGGCTGGTTAGAGTTGGGGGGAGGCAAAGTCCCTCTCAGCTCCTCATTGCTTTCTATAGGCCATTTGAATGTCGCCCAGATGTGAGTAGCAAACATGGGGTCCGGTTAAGTCCTTGGAGTCTGTGGTCCGTCTGGGAGGCAGAATTTGGATCCTTTGTATTTCCCATCTTGAAATGTCTGCTTCCTCTGTTATAAAGCGGAAACACATGGGATGTACTTGGCAGGGATGTAAGTAGTAGCTGTATTTGAAGAGACAAGTGCGTGAAGCATCTTTTGTTCATTCATGAGCAAACTTACATCCCTAGTGAGTGTCTATCTATAGAGAGCTAGTTCTCAAAGGGAAGAAGGCATTTCAACCGCGTGCACATTTGATGAGCGGTTCTTATGTGCCAGGCATCACACTGGCAGTCTTCCTGTGTTAGCTTCTGTACCCTATTTACCTCTAAGAAGTTTACGAGGCATATCAGAGAAGAGGAATCTCAAAGGCACAGAAACAAAACAACAAAAGCAAAAGCGTTGTGAGAGCAAAGGGCATCGCTTTTGCCATACCCCTCCAATGCATGGCGGTACTGATGGTTCACTGGCAGGAATCTCAGCTTCTAGACGATAGACTGGGTCTGATTGCTGGTCAGGGACCTCACTGCAGCCACCACTCGTCCACAGTGGAGGGTAGTGTGTTACTGTGGTGCTTAAGGGCATCCAGCAGAACCTTAGACTAGGGTGGCTAGGAAAAAAGGCCTGGTAATCTGCTTCTGAAAACCAGCCACTGAAAGCCATCCGGGTCACAACAGTTTGGTCTTCAATTCATCACGGAGATGGCATAGGACCAGGCAGCATCTGGGTCCCTCATTCCTGGGGTCACCAGGTCACCATGAATTGGGGGACTGACTTAATGGTACCCACAATCAGAACTTAGCACAGTGCCTGAGACAACTCTCAAAAAGTAGCAAGTGGCTTAGAGAGCCCATGTTATCATGTACCATCAATAAAGTAAGCTGTACTCAGCCCCCCAAAAAAAAAGTAGCAAGTGACTGTGTGAACTTCACATTCCTAGTGTTTTCATGTACCTTCTAGTCAGAACTCACTCATAACTGACCATCCAGCGGGTTTTTAGGATCAGTAAATCATGTGTCAGGAGGTAGGA